GAGAAGGGGGTCAGCTTCCCCCCCCATCCACCCCCATTTGCAAGCCACCCCTTCCCCATCCTGGGGGCCTGGCCAGCTGGGACCTTTACCCCCACCTCCTCGTTGGGTCTGTGGGGCAGCAGGAGCAAGAAAGCCTCTCTCGGCCCCCGCCAGAAGGGGAAAGGGAGGCATCCGGGAAGGAGGGGAGGCCGATCCGTGGCCCGTGGCTGGCGTCTCTCACCCAAGTCCCGCTTGCCTGTTTCCAACAGCCCTGATGAGGGACTGGCCGGTCAGTCTGGCCAGAGAGGCTTGGATGGCGCTTCCCTCTTTCTTGGGCTTCTTCAACCCCCAGAAGTCAGCAGGAATTGAGCCCAAAGTCTGCCCGGCCTCCTTCCTTTTCCCCTCCAGGATCGGAACCCAGCTCTCCCTTGCGCAAGGCTAGTCCTTACACTGGTACCAAACACGGAGCCTCCATCCCCGCCTGCCTGCCTTTCTTCCTTCGCCCCCCCCAATACGGAGTCGGAGTGGCAACCCTGATCCTGTCCCCCCCCCACCAGCCTGTAGCTGGGGCAGAGGTCCCTTGGGTGGCCTGAGGGCAGCTGGCCAAGGGGCTGGTCAGGAGCAGCCGTGCGGGCAGAGGCAGAAGGCATGCCCCGACACTCCGCCCGAATGCTTCACTGGGGTGGGGGGAGCCCACCGTGTCCTGCCCCCACCGCCTCCAAGGCCCACTCACTCAGGTCATAGAAGTGCTGCCAGAAGGCCTCCATCCAGCGCTGGGTCTCAGCCCGGGACTCTGCCAGCAGCGTGTGGGTCACCTCCTCATCCCCGTAGCGGTTTGTTATGGTCATGCAGTGCAAGCGGTTCTTGGGGTCCTTCTCGGTGGCCCGGATGCGTGTCTCCTGTGCGTAGGAGAGGGGGGGGAATAGGAAAGAGAGGGCTCAGGAGCAGGAAGGCCCCCACCCTCTGATGGAGGGGAGAGCCTCCCACTCTAGCTGGGGCACTGCCCGCATGGCCTGGGGGCTCAGGACAAGTCCCACCCTGGCCCAGCACCCTCCTTTCCTGTTCCCGAGCAGTGGCTTCCGTGGGCTTGGCTGACACTGCGTGCGGGTCTTCCTCTCCGCTGGCATTCCCCCCACCCTCCCCCCCACCCACCCTGGAATAATCAAGCCTCTCACTCCGAAGGGAAGGGAAGGGAAGGCCCCTGCAGAAGGGCACAGGGCTACCTGGGGGGACTCCAAGGGGCGAACAAGGCGGCCCACCCAGTCCTGGCCCAGCTCTCAGTTCATGGGGCCAAAGGGGCCCTCCAGGCTCCCTCCCAGCCGCTCTGGCTGCCCAGTGGAAAGAGCTGCTGGGAAACTGGCAGCGGTGCCCCTGGGGGGGGGGCGGGAAGCCCGGGTGAGAGGGGCCCTGGCTAAGGAGCCTCCCTCCTGGGGACCCGGCCCCATGTTGACAGACATAGACCGAGCTGAAGGAGGCCTCCTCTTGAGGAGATTTTGTGCTCAGCCATGCAAAGGCCGGTCCCGGGTGCGAATTCTTTTCACTGGTTCTCTTCTGCATTGGTTGACGTCCACTGAGTTATATGCTGTGCTCTTGAAGGGTGGGGTGGGGTGGGAGAAATGGGCCAGATCTAAACCTAAATCTCATCCTCTCCCAGTGTGGGAGTCGCCTCAAGCGAGCTAACATGGACAATGGCCAACAGGGCTACCAGGCACCCCCTGAAAATCCAATCTGGGAAGGCTGGGGGGGGTGTCTGGTGGTAGAGGCTGCATAGCTCGGTGGGAGGGGGTGCCCACCCCTGACTGCCCACCTTCCAAGGTTGGTAAATTGAGGACCCATCTCCCTGCGCAGGGGGAGGGCAGCATGTCTCCTGCATAATGAAGTTGTAAACCACCCACAGAGTGCTTAGTCCACTGCTATGGGGTGGTCTATAAGCAGTCCCCCCCCCTCGAGACTCCCAGCCCCACCCCGCCAGCCAGCATACCTTGTTGACGGCAATGGTCAAGGCAGGCTCCTCCTGGGTCTCTGCCTCGTGGGGGTGCCGGTAGCAGAAGAGCCGGGGGCCACGCAGCAGGCAGAAGAGTCGCTCCCGG